GAGAGAGAGAGAGAGAGAGAGAGAGAGAGAAATACACAGGGAATACTAGTACTTGTAGTTTCCTGTCAAATTAGACATTTTTGATTCTTGATAAGTTAAACTATTTGAACATTTGAGTTCCATTCTTGTGCCTCAAGTTTGGTGAAAAGACTTGTTTTCATCCTTTTATTATTGCTACTATGGCTAGAAAAATGAAAGAGTTTTAAAGAATGGTAACATTCTTGTTTTCACAATAATACAATTATGAAAATTTCCAATTTGTAAAACATTTGCACTTTTAACAACAACATTTTTTCTTTTTCCTACTAAAGCACTGAATTGGTGTCCAAGATAATATTAAATAGATATTTTCAAAATAAAGTTTTCAACTTTTAAAATCTAAGTGTCCTTACATTTAGTTCTAATGTTGGTACTTTCACATTGCTCTATCTGGAAATATTTTGAGATATATGAGGAAAGGCTCTCAATTATTTTTACACAGATCTATTTTCAATGTAAACCTTGGAGTGGGTACCCTGGAAAAAAAGTAAAGGTAAGATGACTTGATAAAGCTCTGTTGCTGCCTATAGAACTAAATCTCTTCCTATTGAGTCTCCTTCTTATCACCATGCCACATACGGAGTTGACAGCAGGATTCTAGTTGGTCTTTATTCATGTGGTTCAAACATGGCAGACGCTGAGATTTCAGGACATACCAATGATGCTAAAGAAGGAAGAGTTTCATCCTGTTCAGCCCATTCTTGTAATAAAATGAGCCTATCATCTACTAAGAAGAAAAGATAATACAGTGCCACCCACAGCACAACAATGTACTTCCTCTGGATGAGTTTGTAAAGGTCAAATCCATCAAATGATTGATTTGAAATATTTTGCATGGGGTTCTTTTAGATGGGAAAGAGTGGACTCTAATTTTGGTGCTGTAGAGATTTTTTTAAAAAAACATGGCCCACAGATCTGCCTGGTGTGTCGAGGAGAGAACCTCATGCAATTCCTGACACTTTAGTTCAAGGAAAGAACCCCTACCGATGGTGGACAGGGAGAGTAGCTTGGTTTCTACATAGTCTTTCAGAATGGCTAATCATTTCCAAGTGAGCATTCAGTAAATGCTAACTGAAGAAATGAAAGGAAACAAATTAAACGATACCATCACTAAAATTTACTTATGTATTTTAATGTTGCATGGTTCATATGCTTAGAAGAGCCACTAATAACAATATTTATTTTTGGTTTTTATTATGTAATATCAATAAGATATTGATTGGGGTCAGAAAATAATGAGAAACTAAAGAGCTATTACTGCCTAGAACCTGTTCTCTATGGAAGTTATTTAATGTATTTGTTCTGATAATAACAGAATACTTCTATAAAAACAAAAATACTGAAAGTAAAGGTCAATTTTATTGAACAACAAAAAATTACCTTATTTTTTTCTACTTAAAATAATTTTGAAGATGATCAATGTTTATTATATCACATATTTAGTAACTAGAATTTTTAAAAGTGATGCATATATCCTAAGTAATTTGTATGTAAGAAAGTTATATCTGCATATTTCCCCAGACTACTTTCTTTTTAATAGGGTTGAAAGTTTGATTCAAATATATGATATGCCAAGATCATTGTACTGTCATGTGTAACTAATAAAAAAAAAAGGAGTGACTGGGGAGAGAAAAAGAAGAGTTGGGCAGAGAGGAAGGAATTTCTTTTGGTTAGGGAAGAATAGACTTGTTTCATATTTAATAAGCTCTCCAATTTCTAGACAGTAGCTTCATTAAACCAATGCATTGCAGAGCGTAATCTGGTAAAACCCGCCTGGCCAATGACTCAAAACAGACTTACAATGACGCTTCACTGAATATTGTATTCACTTGTCAGTGAGACCCAGAGGTTGCATTGCATGATAGGCTCTGGAGTTCTTAACTGCTAAAGTATCAGAAAGTTGATTGAGAATACTTGTAGCATCTGCCTACATAAACTGAACCCAATGCAAAGAAGTAAAAAAGTCCATGCACTATTTGAAGCTGCTTAATTGATGTTAATTCCCACACAAATTATGAGATAGCCAAAGATGTAGCAAAGCATCTACCAGAAGTCAAGCAAGAGAAAGGGAGATAATTAAGAATGTATCACCATAGAAGATTATAGTCTATTCTTTAAAAGAATTTTGTAAAGTGCAGAGATGCCTAAAAGAAAGGAGGCAAGTATCAGACACTTTTTTAACCTCTCTACCAGTACCATGTAGCTTCCGTTTTTTAAACCAAGAGATGGTTGGTACATGGATACACCAAGCGAAGATGAGCATATATGACCTGAGAAGAAATTTGCCTTCTAAAAATCTCCATTCCACTAGAATGTTCACTTTGGCCAGAGTCTGGTTGGAAGTGGAAGGGGATTCCAGGAAACATTTGAGGGTTCATCCTTAGACATTGTTCTTTTTCTCCTGATTTTATTTTTGTTTCAAATATGCTTACCTAGCTTTTGAAAGACTGGTCATTAAACTACTGAAATTTTCTTTTTCTAACCCAAATGCCATTTGGTAAAAAAAATACATTTTTGTTTTTGCAGGAAAAGCAATAGGTGGTTTTGAGAGAAATTTCACTCAAATTCCCTGTGTTTGAGGGGGTGTTTGATTAGTAGTGTTATAGATTATATTTTTAATTAGTGAGTGGCACCTCAATGTAGCAGTTCACTGAACTGGGGATGCCAAGGGTGATGCTCTATTCTTGGATCAAAAAACAATATGATCCATGATGCTTGGCACATCCAAGACCATTTCTGGAAAGACAACCACAGAGATTCCCATCATTTGGATCAGATGCTGACAAGAAGTGTAATAAAAATTCCTATGGCCATCTTAAGTTCTGGACGTTATTGTATGGTTATGCTACTCGGAGGACAAATCTCATTTGCCATGTGTCGAAATGTTCTTTCATTCTATAAAGTAGGTATCAGAGGCACCCTGGTTATACATATTATGTTAATAAATATCACCTTTGCCATCTCTAAAGATGTTCCTTATTATCATTTATGGGTTCAATACTGCAAACAGCTAGGCTCAGTTCTTACAGAACATTGTCTGGTAGTGAATCTGATGCGAAGGCATTTCTTTGTCAATGTCAACAATACTCTTGTTTTCCACAAATGTTCAGCACCAGTAAGGTATATTCCTAAGCAACAAAACAAAACAAAACAAAACAAAAAAACTACTATTCCTTATTAGACATGCAAATAGGGCAGTCTCTCTAAAAACTTTCTTCCAGAATGAACATATTCTTTGGTTTAATTTAAAATTAAATAAGCAAATGAAGCAAGAAGGGTTTGAGGAAGATGAGAAGCAATTCAAATCCAAGTGAGTGAGTGAACTCCTCTCTATTTTTGCATCCACTCTTTCCCAAATAGTAGAAAAAGGTGATTTATGGGTTAAACTAGCCCTGGTCATAATTCTATGCTGTCTTCACCTATGAAAACTTGTCATAATGAACAGATCATTCCTATTGGCTACCAATTAAACCTTTCTAGTAAGATCAGTTACAAATGAATGAATAATGTGATAATTGCACCTTTCAAGTTCACACTAACATAACAACAACGGACTTCTCTTAAACTCAGGAGAGAGTCTGTTAGCACCTTTGAATTTGTTCATCTCTACAGCAGAGAGAACATGCTGGGAAAAAAAAATAAAAGAAGAAGAAGAGAAAGTACATTCCTTGCTGTCCATCCATGGCTCTGTGTGTGAATACATCACTGACACCTTCTGGCAAAATAAAAGTTGTGGTCTGAATTTGTCCTTGGATGTACAGAACTCAATTAAAAGACATTAGTACAGTGGGGTTCTCTGAGCAGCTTCTTCATCACACAAATCCCCAATTCTCTGCTGTCCATCAGAAGTATTGGGGGTTCTATTGTCTTTCCTTAGGCACTTGAGGAGAAGGTTGAATTCTAGCTGCAACGGTCACACCTCTGAGCTGTCGCTATGGTGGCTCTGCGGGGGCATCATGGGCTCGCTGCTGCCAGAGCCCTTCGGAGTGTCCTTACCCCTGACACTTTTCTTGCTTTTGCACATCATTGCTGCAATGACAGTGAGGCAGATGGTGAGTAATCCCACCGCGATGCTGCCCACGATGGTGACCAGACTGACCTCAGAGCTGGGACTGTTGAGCTCCCGGGGTAGGATGCCTTCGGGGGGCACTCTCCCTGGGGGGGTCTGCCTCTTGTTGGCGCGGTCCAGGGCAATGTGCTGGATGTTTGTCCCTCGGTTGTTTTCAGCACCGATGTCCCATGCCAGTGGGGGTGCGCTCCTGATCTCTCTCTTCTTCCGGCTCCCGGTAGTTATCTGTGGCTTCCCTTGATGCACCAGAGAGTGGTACTCATACTCCACACTTCTTTTGCCGATACCTCGATTGGTGTTGTCTTTTGATCTTACTGTATAGATTGTGTGTATGTACCATTCTCGGCCCAGAGCAACCTGGAAAACAGCCCTTTTTGTTAGGAAATACGATTCTATGACAACCTGATTCATGATTCTTTACAAGAGAAATTAAAGGAGATAATGAAAAATGTTAATTTAGCCTGACTTAATTTACTCAATACTTTTTGAGGGTGTAGAGGTGCAAGGCTCCAGTGTAAAGCACTCTGTGATAACTTGTGTGCAACTCAAGGAAGCTTGCACTGGTGGAATATCGGTATTTGTAGTCACAGAATGTGAGTGCTGTAAAGAAGTTTCTTTAGTACATAGTCTAGCTTATTCTTTTAAAAACGAGCAAAGAAGAATACACAGTAGTTCATGCCTTGATCAATCTCTCCCAACTAGTTAGTGGCAGAGTTAGAACCAGATCTCAAATCTGACCCTCTGTGCTCTTTCAATATGTGTTGCTGCTTTTTTATAGATAAGACCACAGTAGGGAAATATTAACTTTAAAGCTTTTCCAGGGTCTGGGAATAGGAGGGATTTTCTGATTGACTCTTTGAAGCATTCAGGATTTAGAGAAGTTAGATGTTTTGAGAGATAATAACAAAATTGAGAAAGAAATCATATTTTGATCTGTTGTTTGAAAAGAGTCAGAATAACAAATATGCTTTCTTAAGATTCCTTCCTTAGGTTGAATGAGAATAACATTCTCCTGTCTGTGCAAAAATCCTGCCTGCATAATTTTCAGTAACTATCCTGAAGGGTGTATTTGCTCCCTCAAGGATTCACAATGCCAACACATCTCTGAATTTGTTGTTTGTATTCTCAGTGTTGTTAGGACAGCCTGCGTCTCTCTGCACTCTTGTCTCAGAATTTTTTATCTTCATGGATAGAATCTTTGAGAAGGGAGATCTTGTATATTGTGCACAACTGTTTTTTAATACATTTATTCAATCTTCTGTTTATTTATTTATTTTTTATGTGGTGCTGAGGATCGAACCCAGGCCCTTGCATGTGCCAGGTGAGTGCTCTACCACTGAGCCACAATCCCAGCCCCACAATTGTTTTTATGAGCCCATCAGTTCATGCAAGATCACTCTCAAAAGTTGGCTGTGAAAAGTCCCCAGGAAGGAAATTTTCAATAAGAAAAGCAAACTATACAGTTGTCTGACTTAGCTCTATATTCTGAGCTGAATAACAGTCTTCATTACATGTAGTCTTAAAATAGTAACACATTAATAGAAATAATAATAGCTAGAATTTATGGACTGCATTATCTTAAATGTTCCCGTTCACTATGTACAATATTACTATTACTTCCATTTATCTAGGAGACTTCTGAGGCAGAAATGTCAAGAGTCTTGCACATGGTTATTCAACTTTTTAAAAGGAGCTTGTTTGGGGCCTACCTGAAAGAGTGGTGTTGAGTCGACTTTAAATCCATCAGAGCCAGGCTGATTCACTAAGAGGATGGCTTCAGGGTCATCCACTGCCAGTTTGGCATTAAAGAGGACATTTCCAAAACTGGTGGCTTGTGTCTCTGGTTGAGCTTTGTCCTTAGAGCAATAAGGAAAGTGATGGTTGCTATAGACAATGCCAGTTTTTGCAAGGGCTGATAAGTTTTCCTATTAGTTGTGTGTAAATACAAAGCTTTTTAAGCGTTTACAGATCGACATAAAATGTTACTATTTGACTTGATTTAAAAGGATGATATTGTTTTAAAGTATAAAACCAACAGGCTTAGACTGAAAAATCTATCCAGCTCATGTTTGGATGAAAGCACTTACCACAATTTTAAATCTATACAGAAGTGAAGGAGAGTCGGCTAAACAGCCATATTCTTCATTTGTTGGACTATACTTGGGGACATAGCCATCAGCTCCAGTGCATAGGAAAACCTTCTCAATGCTGCAGTAAAAGGAGTCACCCAGATTCTGGACAGGATCTACCATGACACGACCATAAATTGTATCACCTGAAACAGACGTGGCAATGTGATTTCTCTCCTGTGATAGGATGACATCTGCATGATGCTATAGCTTATGACAATAATGACCCAGAGATTATTTCCTTTGTGTCTGTCATCAAACATGGAAAGCCTTTTCCTGTTAGGATCTGGTCAACTCCCAGGTCTCCAATAAGACCACTTTGTAGAATGACCGAGGCTGTCTGGAGCCTCTGACGCTCAACCACCACGGGGAATAATCTGAAAGTCTGGCCTATGATTTGATGTTCATAACATCCCCTTGTGGTTAAAGTCCAGTTTACGCAAATTAATTTTTTAGTGGGTGAGATGTAGACTCATATACTATAAAATCACACTGAAAAGGAAAACATCAATAAAAAGTCTAATTAACTTTATTTGCCTTGGAAAGAGAGTTTAGTGAAACCCCCTGGTATTTAATCACACATTTCTCAGTAATTACTAACCTCTTGGGTATGCTAGGTATTTTTCTAGGTGCTGAGTCTATACCATTAAGAAAAGAAGGGAACACTATTTTCTTGTGAGGCATTTACAATCTCATGTAGCTGCAGTATTTTAACTTGTGAAAACTGAAAAAAATAAAAATCTAAGAAAAACCACAGACTGCTCTATGGTGAACAGAGGCTAAAAACAGGATAAAGACACCATCCAGTGGCATCTGCCCAATTTTAGTGACTCCTCATGTCTGCTGGAGTGATGAAGACTCAATTGTATTCTTACCTCCACAGGAGAGGCTGTCATTTTCTCCCTCAAACACAATCCCAATAAAACAAGGACAAACCCAGCAGCCCTACTCATTTGTGAAGTAATACCTTCTGCAAAAGCAACATCGCTTTCTTGTCCAAATCCCATGGATCCGTCAGACAACCAGAGACTCTTCTTGGAGAGTAGGTACATCTGAGTATTGAGGCTGAATTCAGCTGCCACTGGATCGCTGACCTAAAACCAAGGGTAAAAGCCCTTTTATGTATTCTTGATGGTTCTGAAGATTCACAAGCACACACCATACTGTTCATGTCCACGTCCACTGTGTACTGCCTTGTAGAACACTAAACACCATGCTGCAATCTCCATATCCAATCAAGTCAATTTAGGGAATTATTATGTTCATTTTTGTCCTTCTTGAAAAAGCAAAACTATTGGGATTAAATCATTTTTTTTTTTGAATGGGGCCAAGAAGCATTGCTTGAACTCATTTCTACTGGCATATTGGGGCACACAAAAAAACCCTGTAAATATCATGGTTGGTTGATGGTGGGTCAACATTTAATACATAATAACAATTAGGTACTTTAAAGTGGTTTGAACGATAGATTTCATTCTCCTTGAAGATTAAGAATGAGACGTAGATGGGCAGAACTCTGAGAAAGTTCTCAAATCTCTGAGGTAGCAAACTGCAGGAGCTGACAAGATGAGATCAGATAAGAGAAAAATCACTCCTGCATGAACTTAATCTATGGATTTTAAATCTAGGACCAACAACAGATAAAACTCAATTCCGTTTGCCTTCTTTCTTCCCCTGCTTTCTTCCTATATGACTTACTTTTTTCTCAGACAGAAGAATTAAAGTCATTCATGTGTGAAAAAAGGAGTAGTGATCAACGTAAACCATGACTTTCATGAAGTGGGACCCCACAAGTCACGGCATAAGTCACTCTGTGAAACACACCTGTTGGAATCGGATGTCAAGGTCAAAGGTGACAGGCTCTCTGGGGTTGCAGGTGACTGGCAGTCGGTACTCCTGATTGGACGGGGTGGTGCATGGCACCAGCTTTACAGTATAGGTTCCCGAGTAGTCACGTACCTTTGAGAAGGAAAGAAGGCATTTATATAGTTTTCACTTAAAAACTCAAGGTGCAATCCAAAGGCAGCAGACAAGGAAAATTAAGCAAGCCTTACTTACTGCAAAGTCAGAGACAAAGCTCCATTGCTGAATAGGCTGGTTATAGGTTGGTTCACTCCTTACAAGGCGGAGGGAAAAGGTCAGGCCTGGATGATCAGCTGACATGATCATTGAGCTGGTAAAAGATGCTAGGGAAATGCCAACAATAACAACAATTCAGTGGTTCCATTGAAAGAGTGCACAGCAGTTTCGTGTTCAAAATACTTTACCACATATTATTTGCTTGTATTCTTATAAGTCTGCAAAATAGTCAAGGTTGATATGGTAATCTTCATGTTGCAGGTATAAAAAAAAATTGAGCCGAGAGCAATTACATGACTGTCCCAAGCTCATCACACAGAGAGGGTGTGTGACTTCTGATTGTTAATTCAGTGTCTTTTCTGCTATGATTTTTTCTCAAAAGGTAATTGTACAGAAATGCTCAAATTGCTCAGGACTACTTTCCAGGGAGTCAGTGCAGAAGGATCAGAGTGGCTATGAATGTTTTTATTGTGCACCAACGTTGTGAGCTGAACTTCAAATAGTCTGTTAGCATCTGCACAGCTGGGCAACCCCAATCTACAAATGGGATCTAAATTTAATTAGATTCCCTGCAACTGAGGCTAAACAAAGATTCAGTTTATGAGAAAGGTGGAGCTGGGGAAGGAACTGTAAAGATCAGGAAATCCTCCTTTTTCAGAACTGTCAATTACAATAATGCAAAATGATTCCTTTTGGTTCTTTCTTGTAGCTCAATCTCATAAAAATACAATGAACCCTCTTTATTTGCCTGCATATTCAGCTCTGGTCTCTCTTTCATTAGGGCTTACATTCTGAAAAGGGAAGGATATGGAGAAGGAAAGTCAACTAATTTTCCTTTCTAATCTGACAGAAGTTGGCACTCCAGTTAAATACACAAACCGGTTTTTAGTAGTACGGAAAGTCAAATAGGAAAACAAATTATTTGTAATGAAATGTCCTTTTTAAAACAAGGAAACATGGGGCTTCACTGACTGCAGCTTCACTCATACTCAAAGCACTGTCCATCACATTGAGTAAAATTGCCTAGACAGTCCTAGCAGTTAAAACATTTGAAACTTCAGTAGGAAAGTCAAGTACCACTTCTGGCTGTCTTATAAGGATTTCTCACAATACCTAGAAAAGGGCTATAAATGGAGAAGTGTTTGCTAAATGAATCATCTGAAATTTAAAAGGAAAAAATATATATATATATATTTTGGCACAACAGAAGCAAAGTGGGGAAAAGAATTGTTATCCCCATGTTCTTTATATAAGGAAAACTCTACTAAACATGAACTCGGTGAGGTTTCCTTTTACATTCCACTATCTCTAAGAGTCTGCATAATGATAATTTTGTGAATGATGAAATAGCAGCAAACAATTATCAAGCCTTCAAGGAGATATTTGCACATATAAAATTCACTTGAAATTTAGGGCTTTAAAGCTAGCAGGAAGCCTGCCGAAACACGTGTGAATATGAAAACTTTATCTCTTTCTTATGTGAGGAGTGACTACTAATGGATAGTGGGGCTTACCGGGATGTGACAGCACAAACAAGCCATGGAACTGAGCCTGGGTCTTGAAGTTCACAGCCAGGCGCCCCTCTTCCCTGATGCGCATGCTCGTTGGGTAGAGAGATCCTACAATGGGAACAGCACACAGAATGGAAACACAGGTGAGCAGAGACTCCTAATGTACTGATTCTTTGCAAAAACAAATAAAATTTTTCTCATCTTTAAGCACCACAGGTGAAGGATATTATCAGAAGAAATCTGAATAATTAGAGAGAGAGATTTCTTTATTTTCTAAAGAGAAAAGACATCTAAAAAGGAGGTGAAATGAATTAGGTAGTGTCAGTTCACTATGAAACACACAGATTGATTACAGTAGAAAGAGCTTTTTTTTTTTTTTAAGTTTAGTCTACAAAAATGAAGCTGTAAATTGAGGGACACGATAAACTTGTCAAAATCATATAGAGCTTTGGACATCTAAGTGGAAATGGGGGTGTGTTCTCCAAAATGACTGCAAATTTTACAGGCTTAAAGAAAACTTTCCCAAGACATTTAATATTTTTGCAAAATTTAGTTCCACATATAAGAAAGAAATGAGATCCTTATGCACACATTGAGAACCAAGGGAGGATAATCATTAAGATTCACTTAAATATCCATCTAAGGTAAGATGTGGAATTAAAATACTGGACATATCCTGGAGTGATTCCTTAGAGTGATCAGGTTACTTGTCACATAGCTTTATGGTTATTTTAATCTGTCCAGGACAGTATATTTATGATTGAGATATGCTACCTACTCTGTTTTCTTTCTGGCTAGTAATGAAGTTTCAGCACAAAGCTATAACATTCATACAACCAGAACAATAAGGTATGTCTAAAAAGAAAAAGTCCTCATCTACAATGGAATAATTAACTTTAAGCCGATAGACTTTGAGTTATTATTCTCACAGAGTTTGAAATAAAATTTTGAATCTGCCAATGGATCTTAAGTATTCAAAGACTTGTGTTTTAAGATATTTGGCTATAGTATCACAGAATAATAGAATCTTAAATAGGCTAAGAGATATTAGATAGTTTTGTGTATCCCAGAAAGGTTAAACGATATACCTGAAATCACACAGCTAGTTTCTCTATCCATTTTCTAGAACCCAAGGGAAATATACATCAATGGCTAATCATCCAAGATGCATTGTTGGGAGTAAAACACCCATGGAATGCAGAAAGTTATATTTAATGGTCACATATACAAAATTCGAGGCATTGCTATGATCTTATTAAACAAAATTCTGTCCACCACAAAATGGAAATAACCTCATTACTGAATAGAAAAAGAAAAAAAATATTCATTAGCTACAGTGAACAAACCAAACCAAAACAAACACCCACACTCAATTCTCTTAAGTAATTCAAGTGGGTAAGAAAACTGTAGAGTGCCTGTCTGATGCACGCACCTTGGAGTTCGGCTCCTGGTGGGCTGCCAATTCCATTGCTCCACAAGATGGCAGTGTCATACACGAAAGTCAGACGAAGCTCCGACTTCAAATCAAAATGCTGCCAGCCACCTACTCCCACTGGGGAGTGGAACACGTAGGACACATACAGAGGTACTCGAAGGGTCACGTAAGACTGCACTAGGTTTAGGACCTGAAACAATAAAATCATACCTATCAACACGATGAATGATCCTGTGTTAACGAGAGGAGCCAATTTTGTACAAGTCATTTTCTCCTTAGACTTAACTGAGGATTTCACATAAGTCACTGAGGAAAGGAAATGAAAGCATTCATTCTGTAACACTGTTTCCCCCTCTCTTAACTTTGGATCAGTTAAACCATTGTTACTACCACCTTGATTCGCAGCAAAGGGTATGCAAAAGAAACGCTTAGGATGAACATTATTTTGAGCATAGTATGCTCACACAGTCCTTTTGATTTTGTAGTAGCTTTACTAAGATAGTTCATATATCGTATTGCTTAAAGTGGAAAAATCAGTAGTTTTTAGTATATTCAAGGAGTTGTACAAGTATCATCACAACTAATTTTAGAATATTTTTATCACCTGCCCAAAGAACTGGTACCCATCAGCAGTCCCCCCATCCCCCAATCCCTTCTACCCACAGATCCTGAAACACTAGTCTACTTTTGTGTCTCCATGCATGGCCTCTTCTGGACATTTGGTATAAATGGATTCATAAAATTGTGGCCTTTTGGAATGGACTTCTTTCACTTAGCATGTTTTCAGGGTGGCTATGTTTCAATACTTCATTTCCTTTTATAACTGAATAGCAGCCCATTTTGTGTATACATTATATTTTATTTATTCATTCATTAGTGGATGGGCATTTGGGTTGTTGTCAGTTTGGGGTTATAATGAAAAATGCTGCTGTAAGCTACTTTTCTTTTTAGTTAAACAGAGGAAGATGAGACAAAGCAGTGAAGATTTGTAAACAAACATATTTAATAATGACATGGAACATTTAAGATGACCTAAGAATAATTAGTTGCAAAAAAAATAAATAATTATTTTCAGTAAAGTGTCTTTATACTTTTCCTCTTCAGATCCTTAGCAGGTGGACTGGGAGTAGTGGAGGTTTAAGTAATATTTATTTATTGAGCACTGATCACATTTCAGACAATGTACTAGATTCCAAAAAAGAAAGCTATTTAATATTTTCACTCTCCTCCATAATTATATTTATGTTGTATGTGTGGGTGATTGGATGGGTGGATAGGCAATGAATAGACAGAGAAAGAGATAGGAAAATCCTCTTGAAGAAATAAGGTACATTTCTCCCAGGATACTTTAAAGGTCCTGAGTGGCCCCACCAAAATTAGAATCCAGCTTCTGGTCTATGCTTTTTCTACTCTTACTATGATTTAATCACATTCCAAACAAAGCTGACAACAGTCCAAACATCATCTAACAAAAACTATCATAGCTAATTCTCTGAAGAACAGCAGGACAAACCCGACTATTATCTTCTGTGCAGGTGGAAATGGACTTAGGTCAGGGTCACACTCTTTAGAAGTTCAAATCCAGCTGTGAGATAATAGTCTCATTTCTCTATGCCGAGCTGACAAGAGGAATCAGTACCCAAGTGAGCAAATAATTTCAATCAGGAAAACTCTAATAATGGCATGCCACCGTGGAGTTAATAGTGAATTCCTCACGTCACAAAAATGATCACCGGAATCACTAATAGAAATATATAAAATGAGAACCATCAACCAATAAAGTGGATTCCCAGCCATGTAGAAGCTAACACTTCCCATTTCCTGTTAATCTGGGCAGCAAAGAAGGTTCCTTGCAATACAAATTCTGTGAGAGACAGTTTTCCAAGAGTGGCAGTGTAATGGAGGGTAATTAAGTCAATCTGCGAGAAGTGGTCATTATGATTCATATTTCTTCCTGAGGTTTTCTAAAGCAACCAGAAATTCAGTTGTGAATTTCAAATTAAATTTTTATGATTTTTGCCAATGGTATACTCTATCCACCAACCATTACTCAGTGTATTGTTTTGAAGGGAATTGTTAACATTCACTTGCTATGAATAATTGGGATAGAACTTCATGACTAATTCTTATTTGATTTTGTTTGATTCTTATGGTGAATTAGAAATTGATCATCTCAAGACATGAAATTAGCATCTGATTGCATTTTCTGATTATCCTTGGCCAAGTCTTCTTTCTGTCTACTTAGAATCTCTGTCTTGAGAACAATCCACAAAATTACAACTTTCTTATATTTGATAAAGGGGCTAAAAGCATGCAATGGAGGAAGGATAGCATCTTCAACAAATGGTGCTGGGAAAACTGGAAATCC